ATATCATGGTACATTGGAGAATGGGTGAGCGCTCAGTGTGAACTGCGATCATTGGCTGTGGGTCCAAGATGGGTATCCATTTTGGGACTCTGGTAAATGGCCCCTGGTGCTTTAATTTTGCCCCATACCCACATGGTCTTTGCATGGCAAGATCCAACATTGAAGTGCCAGCAGCGAGCTCACACCGTGCGCCTGCGCTCTCTCTCAAAGTCTCAAGGCTTGAGTACACCGCGCGCGGAAAGATCTGTTGCAAACATCAGTGGCTTGCGTCCCCAAAGCTGCATGAACTCTCAATCAGAATCAGCGAATCTAAGAAGCCATGGAAGCCAAGGTCTTTTCTATGGCTATTGTTTCTTGTTTAAAACAGGAGAGCTGCTCCTGAAATCCCTTTTCTACCGGAACACGTCTCAGCCTCGGAAGCACACGGCGCAAACTGCGTCGTACGTACGTCAACACGTGGGTGTGTCTTCAAAACGAGGGACGCCGAAAATCGGTGTGTGCCTTTGGTTTCCAATTGAAGCAACCCCCTCTTACCCCTTAAAACTTCAAGTCCTGGGGAAGTTAATCTTTTACATACATATAGCCCATGTTACCCAAAAAGTTTAAAAGTTGTGTTTTTTTAAGAGGTAAGCCCTTTTGGGGGGATACCCCAAAAAGGACATCCACGTAGACCGTGCACGCAACATCTCTCAAAGCGATCAAAAGCGCAGCTGTCGGTCCTCCCAGCCATTGAGACTTCCGAGTTGGCACGACGCTTAACGCCATTCAGCCACCCCCCCCCCCAGACCAGGATGTCGAGGTTTGGGCATCGCGCCTTTGAGGATTGATTAGGCTTCAAACTCCAGCTTGGTTCAAGCCGTACTTGAAAAACCAAGTGCTCGGGTCCCGTACACCACCCGAAACTACTGTTGCAAAAAAACTGCGGATTGTGCTCCTCAATTTCCACCAAAAAGGCCGCTGATGGTTATCCTTCCCCTTTGAACTACGACTCTCCATTTTGGAAGCCTTAGATGTAGCCTCTTTGAATCCCGGCACATCTCCCTGCCTCTGCCTCTGGCTCGTTTCGGGCCTTAGGGCGAAGTCGGCGAATGGCATGCCCGCACCAAACAAAAACAAAACAGCCATATTTCATCCCGCACCCCCAGTAAACATCCCAATCCCCACTAAAATAGACTAAAATGGGTGGTTTGGGGCGTGGGAAGCCTGAAGCAACTCTTTGCACCAATGGCATCAACAGCTGATGGCAACTCTTGAGGCACTTTGGGCTTCCCTCGGTAGTTCACGGACTGCTCGCTGGCCGTCCAGCGTCAGACTTATTGCCACCATGAAAGACAGCACATGCCAAGGCAACCCCGCAATGGCACCCTCAGACAGTCCGTGCCCAAAACAACCTGTGCAGCCCTTTTATTGCGTCCATCTTCGTGGATCTGTGAAGACCTGTGTCCCAGCATTTCATGCGACCAAAATCAGGATCACGGAAGCGGGACAAGTGCCTCGACATACTTTGGACAAAAGTCGGCGAGCCCAGTTTGGTGGAAATCGAATTCACGAATCATGATCTGCTCCTCAAACAACTTCTCGCATGTACAGGGTGACATGAGATTCTACTTGGGGTTAGTCGCTAAAGTTCCATGCCAGTCGAGGGCACAATGCATATTGACCAGAGCTCAAATGTGCCATTGTCATCGCAACCAGGTCATTTATACAAATGGATTGGCAAATATTCTAAACTCGTTTCTTGTCGCTAACAGAGTCTTTCCACAAAGTCTAAAGTTACTGGGGAAGTAAGGTCCACCAAGTACCTATATAACAATATAACCGTCCTCACCTTCCACGTTGAGACCTGCCCCCTCATCCTCCAGGCCAATGGCACGACTTGCAGTGTCCTGATCTCTCGCACGTTCCCGTCTGCCCGTGTCGTTTCTGCGAGCACGCGTTTTCCGCACCCCAACACACTCAAGCGGGCAGGCTTGTCATTGGATTGCCGACTCAACACACACACACACACTCACACATTCAACCACACACACACACCCACCCACCCGCCCGCCCACCCACGCACGCACCCACCCACTCGCGCACGCACGCACACAGCCGCACATTCACACAGATCGACACACACGCAAACAATTTTTGCAGGTGGAGAGCAGGACTTCGTACGCAGTTCCTCCCTGAAAATGTTACTTAGTGGCAGCATGCTTTATGAGTAACGCCTTGACGTTCTCGGCCCCCAGGCCCGGGAAGCGGTCAGACCCCTTCACACCATCTTCCAAAACTTCATCCCCTGACCCCCCACTCCAGTCCGGTTGAAGCGAGCCTGGAAGCAGCCGGCCCCCACACCAGGAAGGAGGTCAGGGATTGATTCTCCCTGATCCAACCCGAAACCGGTCAACTTCCCATCTAGAAGCCAGTCAAATCCATATCCCCCCCCAAAAACCGTAGAAACCGGTCAAACTCCCTTCTAGAAACCTGTCTGAAAACAGGTCCAACTCCCGTCAAATCCCCCTAGAAACCGGCAAGCCTCCAAAAAAAACCAGTCAAATTCCCTAGAAATTTGCACTTGCGCTTGGCCCACCATTCTGTAGCTCTCTGCGGCTCTCGTTGTGGCCCAGGTGGAATCGCGCGGACATGCGCCCACACTCTGGCTTGGAAACTGGCTCACGAATTTCGGCGCCGACTCACTCACTTTAATAACAACACTTGAAGGCAAACTAAAGCACAGTATGTACCTCAAAGCCAGCCAAAAGCGGACTGGCCGAGGCGGGCAACGCGAAGCGCTAACAATAATAATGCTGATGCTCTCTGAGAGTCTCTGTCGGAACTCCACACCGCGGAAGGGCAAAGTAAGGGAGGCCTAAGTGAACTGATGCTGATCATGCTGATCAGTAAACCTATCAGGGCGCGATCGAGGTCTTGTTCCGCAGCTCGTTCTTCACCATGTTCAGGTAAGGTTGGGGGCTGCCAAACTTGGATGTTCTGGCGTTGTCGGCGCAGCAGCTTGACATTGAGCCTCGTGTCGGGTTTTCGGGTGGCTTCAAGATGCCTTTGACAAAGCCGAACTCTGGAAAAGAGAGGACGCCCGCAGTCAATTTCTTATGTCATGGTCTCTGACGGCCAATGTCCCTTGCGGAAGCATCAAATCAGGCCGAGTTCTGCAAGGATGTATCTGGGTGCTCGGCAGTTCTAGGTCCATGTAAGTTCAGAAGTTCCCGTGGCAAATCTGCAGGATTCACTTGCGTGTTGCTTGTGTGGTCTCCGTTGCTTGCAGCTAACGAAGCAATCCTAGCCCGCCTTCCAAAGTCAGCAGACAAGAAAAAGGAAACTGGACGCCCTGAAACCGATAAAACCTCAGAATAGAGCCCGGATTAGCGCTCACCAAATGTTCTCAAACCCAGTCCGCATGTTCATGAATAAATTAGTCGAGGGCTCAATCAACTGTGTGACCCAGCCACACAGCCAATGAGCAATGGTTCATGAAGTTGCCACATCTACGCAACATGAACCCCAGATGCCCAGTGGCCATGGAAAAAAGGCTGCCTGAGTTCAAAGGAATCGGAACCCTTCCCAAAGAAAGTTGGAAGAAAAAAAAAGCGGGAGCCGCTGGTTGCAAGTGGGGAACTCCCCTCCTCCAAACGCGAAAACGCCCGAAGAGATTCGACCTCTCCATTCCGGGCTCCTCCGGGCCCATGGTGTCATCCTGCCTGGCACCGGAGCAAGTCGTTTTTGGACATCAAAGCCCATGGGCCTAGTTCCGCACCCAGAATTCGCAAGCAAGTCGATCAGGGAATTAAAGTTCGCCCCCAGAATTCAGCTCGCCAGAGAGTTTGTCTATCTCCTGCAGCTTCATTTGTGAAGAGTGTACGTTGCGTTGCACTCTTCGCTTTCGGACATCTAAGATGCTCCAAAAGGATCGCACTAAGCACAAACATGCTTAATTGGGAAGTGAGCAATCTATCCACTTCATACAGCAAACAAGCATCCAGGAGTTCCAAAAGGAACCGACTGCAATCTATCGAACTGGCTGTAGTGGGAAAGATCTGTGTAGCCAGCTTGCTTGGCTTCCGAAAACTGAATGAAAGACAGGCTCAACCAAGCATCAAGACGTCAATTCTTTCTCTCAGCCGACCAGGGGTCTCCATTAGCAGGGACAGACCAACACATCTGGCGCTCGCGGGAGCCCCGTCCCGCTGCGTGAGATCAGCTTTTTCCTCTCACGCGGAGCGGTTCCGAGCCGGGCTGAGCCGACGTCCGACCTGGGCCATGGGTGTGCCGAAGGCTGAGAAAGAGTGGGTGCGAAACATGAGTTGGCTGTATTTCTAAGGGAAGCCTTTTCAGCTTGTTGAGGGACACCGAAGCAAAACGCACCACTTGTTTGGGCCCATCTTGCTACATTCCCATGTCAAACTTATCCCGGTACAAATGGCATAGCTTGGGCCAACAGCCTTCATCCATACTCAGAGAAGATGTGTGAAATGCATTCAGACTTTCTAGGAGTGGCCATGTGCACGTTGCTGGACCACCAGATCTGTGAAACGGAGACTGACCTTAAGAGCTAGTCGTGAGTCGTGGACATCGTCGCGCTGACACGCCAACAGTCTGGCGCAACCTGGTCACTGTGAAATGTCCAGTAGCAGTGCGGCTGTGGATTGCAAACAAAAAACTCAGATTCGCTCCCTGCATGTTTTTGCGGCTGCTCCAACAACGACATCCCCGAGCTTCCTGTAGGCTATGATTCATCTCCGTCAGAGCCCCTCTTGGGGTGCGAGGTCTTAGACAGAGTTCGCCCACATGGATGGTCATGTCCCAGGGGCCCTCGCAACACCTCCCCTCCCCCCAAAACGAAAATAAGAAATGCCTCAAAAAAAAGGGGGATATGATCCGTTCCCCCCAAACCTCACCCCCACTTTTTTTGGGTGAGCAAACCAGGCCGCTTACCGGGCCGCTGGAAGGGCAGTCAGGCCCCTGGCTTTGGATTCAAAGCCGAGCGGCCTGAAGCGAGCCTAGGCCACGCACGCCGCCGGGGCCGTGCCAGCGCTGCAGACTTCCTGCCATGATTCCACACGAACATTCGGCCAAGTGGGCCACCTCAGCCTTCTTCACAGGGTGAACCTGCATCCAACACGAAGAAAGCAAACGGCGAGTGGTTGCGCCATCACCGTTTATCGCATGAGGCTTCAAGTCCCAAACCCAGGAAATGTCCCGAAGCTCGGAATCCGGGAAATGAAAGGACACGATGCTTTTGTCGTGTGACCCAACATCAGTTTGCTGAGCTACTCCCAGGAAAAACGGCCAGGGAACAAACTAGAGGGGGCCTAAGGACTGCTTTGAAAATCATCCGCAGCTTGAGTGCGCAAGCTGGTATTTGTTAAAAGCCCAAATCAGTGCCTCGAGCCTATATATACATATTATATACATATTATATACATATATATATATATATATCTTATACATATGCGTGTTTCGTGATACAGCCGGGCCAAAGGCCTTCTGCTGACCTTGGCAATGCGTGCCTAGGGAACAAATTGGCGAAGGCAAAGCCCGTGCTCCACCGGGGGCTCACGGAATTTCACCGGAAACCAGAAAACGACAGCGAAGCCTTGGTCGGCGCCGCTGCAGGCGTCAGCGTGAGGCTGTCAGTGGAGTGGGTCTTCGCGATGCAGGCGGTCCTGGGCTCTACCCCAAAAGGGCACTGGAGTTAGGAATCGGTGGAGCCAAGTTCAAGTTACAATCTCCTAAGCCCGTTGACATAGGACCCAAAAAGGGGGGGAAGGCAGCCCAAGGAGTGATTGTTCACATAACGGACCTCACGTTCTGATGACATCTTCCGTCCTGCACTGCGTCTGGTTCCAGATCAATGCACGAGGTGTTTGCATGCGCCGTTTGCAAGGTCCTTCAGTGTCAAACGCCATACCTTCTGAGACACAACAAATAATAATAATAATAATTTAAAAAATAACACAAAAAACAACGAATGGGCATGAAGGAGCACAAGGAAACTCCTTTGTCTTCCATCTTACCCAGTGCAAGCAGAGCGGCGTGCTTGCATTAAAATTAACAAATCTTCTGGCTCAACGAACCGTTTTCACCGCAAGAAGCCCTCCGAGCTAGGCATTAAAGAAGTATTAAAGATCTGGGCATGTTCCTTCCACCAAACGCCCCGAGCCAAAAAAGCACGCGGAAGCTCCGCCCAAAACCGAGCAAATCAGTTCCAAGGTGCAGCGCCGCGGTCTGATCACCGGACTTGGCCAGCACATCCTGAGCTGCCCATGGATGCCCTTTCCGGGTCATCAGGTTAGTGGCTTCGAGGGCCCGCGGTCGCACGGGTGAAGTCTTTGCTCCAAGGTAAGCGCACTGCACCAAATATGACCCATGCACAAAATGTGGCGGTTGCTGTAAAATGACATGGGAAAGTGGGTGAGTCCCTTTGTTTTGTTTGGGAAATTTAGTTTGTTTCCCCCATGTCATTTGTTCGATGGACTGAAGACTCTTTTCATTTTAAACAAACCTCAGGATCTCGTATTTTCCCGGCGGATAGGTGCCAACATTTGCCCAGCACAATGACGAATTCCATCGGAATAAATTTACACGTCATAAACCCAGAAGCCCAGTGGCCATGGGAAAAACGGTACCTTTTTATCGTGCTTGATTCTAACAGGAAACCCTTCCCCGAAGAAAGCAAGGCACCACTGGGTGTCTCGGAGAGTTCACCCAAAGCATCCTTTCCAACCAAAATGATTTGACTGATTGCAGCACATGGACCCCGCATGTCTCACAACCACTTCCCGTCAGCTGCCAGCTGCCTACAGGAACAGCAGTCAAACAACAGAAGCCGAGCAGTCTCCTTTCCAATCATACGACAAGTGTGCTCCCTCATGAGTTGTCTACGACGAGCGCGACAAAAGAAAAAAAGGGGGCTCCTGCCCGGATGGAACGAGTGTAAGTTTTTCTAACAGGTCGTCCATCGCTCATCTGGCCCTCTTTTTCCTGACGCAAGACGTTGATCTGAACACCACGCCAGCACACCTGCATGATAATCACATGCACACAGCACCGAAACAATTCCCGACGCCTCACCAGGCAATCCTATGCATCAAGCGGGGCCAAGGCACCAAAAGGCACTGGATGCGCTTCAAAGCGGTCCACTGCGTCTTCAGGTTGTCTTGGATGCTCTGGGCAGTGTTGAGGCTGTTCCTCATCGAGCCAGGCCGCACCCGTTTCAACTCTTTGACTCTTGGTTCTGCATGGTTATAAAGCTTTACATGATTTATATGGGTATGCGGTATGTGTCAAAGTAGGGAAACCCCATGGCGGTTTTCAGCTTGCCTTCGAAGGGTCAAGAATCACGAACCCGTCGTACACAAGGACCGCCTAGTAGACTTAAACCGGGGACCCAAAGATGCCGAAGGGTCGATTTCCCCAAAAAGGAACTCAAAGGCTATTTTTGGCGCCCCGCCAAAAACCATTCTAAACATGGATCTCAGTTTGGCTCCAATGGCCAAATGGGTTTCTCCTGAAAACTGGTGACACACAAACACAAGCACACACCGGCAACATCTGTATTCAAGCAACTCACCAATGAGTTGCGCATGCTTTCCTGCATCAATTTGAGTCTATCAACAAAGGCCATGCGAAAAAAAAATGGCACCCTTTGTGAGGGGTTTCTTCGATCATATTCAGGGACCACCCCCCCCAAGCAAAAAACAGAGCAAGGACAAGTGGACTAGGTCCTCCAGTAGAGAGGTTAGAATAAGGGTTTTACCTTTTTTTTCTGTAGTCTCTTTTTAGTAGGGGAACCCTCCCCCAAAAAAGAAACGGTACAAGGGCACCTAGCTGGGGGAAGTGGAATTTCCGAGCCCGTGCCCCAAACGGCTGGCTGACTTCTGCCGTTTTGGGCGCCCGGCCCGGCGGCGCTCCCTGCCGCGCTCCAGCAGCTCTCGTAGGTCTTGCAAACCGCAAGCTTGCCTGCGGCTTAGATCGGCTTGGCTACCTTCCCCATTCTTTTCCAGGGATCCTTCTTTTCAGGAAACCATCAAAAACCCAGGGAAACAACTGGCTTTTGAAAAGGACGCTGGTTGAAAAGAATGGAGAATCAACCCCTAGATAGATCGGTCTGGCACATCTCAAAGGTTTGTTCGAAAAACCCTCCGGGCGATTCCATGGAAGCGCCCCGATGTGGTTCCACGTAAATGGAGGCCGTGCAAGAGCTTCCATGTAAGTTGCGAGTGTACACCCTGGGACTACACCCTACAACAATTACCCAAATTCATCCCATCAAAACACACAATAAAGTGGAGATTGGCTAGAATCGGGTGATTCCCCAGAGGGATCCCAGGGTGTAGTAAGAAAAGCCATTGGTATTCCCCGCAACTCCAATTACGATATCAGCTTCCCCCGAGTTGGTTTGGAAATTGTTGAAGCCTGGTTCTTGTAGAGGGCACATGTACCTGTATGGGTGTTTCTCCAAATGGGTTTATTTTGGCGTCCATCCAAAAGGAGGTCTACCTTTTGGAGACCCCCGCCAGCTTAGGTATCCAAGGGAACCACCCTTCAAACAAGCTATCCTGTATATATATATATACACCTCGCTTCCACTAACATAACATTTGTGGGAGGGTGCCTAGAACATGGTTTTCCTCTTCTATAGGAACCCCTGTCAGGTGCCAGGTTAGTAGGAGTGAGGGTATGGTACACGAAGCATGGCGCGCTGGTTGCCTCAGAAGATACCAGAACTTGGAAGCCAACGCGTCCGAACCAATCTACTCGCAGCCAAACCGAAACAGAAAAGGGAAACGGCCAACATGGAGCCCGACCAACCTGGCGGCGTGGACACCTTGTTGCAACCCTTTGCACCTGGGCTCATCTGGCACCGGAGACCCTACTCAGCTCTCGCCTTCGTAAGGCGCGCAGAGGGCGGAGGTGGCGCTCGACTCCAGCGTGGCGCATTGCAGCTCCTCGGCATCGGCGATGGTGAGGCGGAGCCAGCCCCGGTGCTTTGTATAAAAGAACCCTCCGGTTGGCTTCCTTCTGAGGTCTGGTCATGGAAACCCAAGTTGCATGTCATGGAGGGGTGGAACGTAATGGAGCCTAACAAGTATGTTTTGAAACAAGTCCGGCTTCCTGCATACAATCACTGGTGCAGTCAAAAAAACACATGGTTCAAATCAAAACAAAGGGGATCTTGATTCGAGAGCTGTCTAGCAAGCTTTTCAAGAGTCATATGAATCAGCTATGTCCTCGCGGTGCAGGAGCAAGGGTGTGATCAAAACACATGCAGCCTGGCTGAAAGCCTGCACAAACGATCAGCAGCAACTTTTGAAGATGCCAGGGAGCAGTTGGGGTCTGACCCCTTTGTTTTGAGGCTTTGGTATCTTTTCCAACCAAGCGAACGGGGAACCACCCACCCACCCACCCACGCACGGACGGGAAGTTCGTGGAATGCACGTGGTGTAAGCATACATTCAATCCTGATGTACCGTGGACTCCAGACGTTGCTTCCGAGTCGGACGGTCAAAGACTCGTTCAAGGAGAATTAGCACCACATGCACCCACCCCAAAAAACAAAACAGCATTTGGGATTCTCCAGCACAATCAAAAGACACCCCGGGCAAGTCTCCTTGCTGGCGACTGGGGTCTGCTTGGTCTGGCATTCCGCCATCTTGGTGTTGTAGCTCGACGTGGCATCCTCAGAATGTACCCCAACCTTCCATTTGGCTACGGCCCCGGGAAAAAATGCCGGTAGCGATGAATTCATTTTAAAACCAACAAGGGAACACAATAATGTCAAAACAAATGGAGGACACCAAGAATGAAGGGTTTGATGCGGCTGACCACCACCACATGGCCAACAATCCGCACACTCCCGATCTTCCCTTGGGGCTCGCCGCGCTTTGATCTGGGATTGGGCGGAGATGCCGGCTGCGGCTTTTGGAGTCCGGCCACCGGTTCCCTGCCGTTCCTGCCTCCCCGTTTGCTTCAATGCTCCGGTCTCGCTTGCGGCTCTCACGCTCTCTGCCTCTCTCGTTCTTCGGGCGTTGTAACCACAAGGAAACATGTTTGCCAACCACGACAAGAACATAACCAACCACGACAAGAACCACAACGCGGCGATTGAAAACGAACAATCACGACAAGCAAATGGAGGAACATGGAGGAGGAATGGAGGAAAGAGGAGAAATGGAGGAGGATGGAGGAGAAATGGAGGAGGATAGAGGAGAAATGCTCCATCTCCTCCGTTCCTCCTCCATCCCCTCCCTTCCTCCATCCTCCTCTATTCCATTTTTCTCCATCCTCCTCCATTTTTCTTCAATCCTCCTCCATTTTTCCTCCATCTTCCTCCATGTTCAATCCTCCTCCATTTTTCCTCCATCTTCCTCCATTTTCTATCCTCCTCCATTTTTCCTCCATCATCTCTTCCTCCATTTTTCCTCCATCATCTCTTCCTCCATTTCCCCTCTATCCTCCTTCCATCCTTCTCCAGTTTTACTCCATCTCCTCCATTGTTCCTCCATCCTCCTCCATGTCTTTAAATATCCTACATGTTTGCTCCATCCTCCTCCATGTTTAATCCTCCTCCGTTTCTCCTCCACTTTTCCTTCATCCTATTTTCCTCCATTGGCTTGTCGTGATTGTTCGTTTTCAATCGCTGATTTAATTTCCTTGTCGTTTTTTTTTTTTGTTGATGATTGAACTTTTCCTTGTCGTCCACGGCTGAGTGTGCCTTTCTGGCTGCCCGTGACTGAATGATGCACTTCTTGGCAGCCGTTATTCACCTGGACAAATACTGAAACGATGCCTCTCGCCCGCAATGGGACGAGGATTGCTTTGCTTTCTGGATATGGTTGGATGATATTGGATGATGATTCGCTCAATGAATGCACAGTGCTGTGCATTCTCGCTTGAGGAACGCGTGAAGAAGCCAGGGCCGGAGATTGTTTTCCCCCGATGGAGGTCCCTTCCGAGTTGGGCAGATCAACCCCTTTCGGGGTGGAGAAGGTCGATTCATCACTTGCAGCCACGTCGCCGTGCAGTTGGACTTGCCTCACGCTCAATTGCTGAGATCCATGGGGGGCAAGGCATCGTTACAGTGGCAAGGGGCAAAAAACACATCAAAGCGCGATTGGAAAGTGAACTGTGCATTGTCTACCTGTGTTTGGCCAAACCATTTGGGCGGATCACTACAGCCGATCACAAAGCAGAACGCAACACTGCAACCAGCGTCGCAATTGTCAGGGGGCCGCTTAAGCGTAATGATTAAAAGAACGACCATGCAAAACCAAGCATATCTGCCCCAAAGACCGGTCCGATAATACATACACCTGACGCTCAACTGTGTAGTTTGTCGCGGGATCCTGTTCCTTGACCTTTTTGAGCTATGCCTGCCCCACACGCGACAAGTTCTCAGCTCAGTCTGTGAAACCCAATGAGTGATTGCTCAATGAGTGCTTGGCAAATTTGTTGCTGACAGGTGAGTCTACACTCGCAAGCTGAATGGTTACTGTAACAATATGGGCAATGCTTGCCAAGCCTTGCGTTTTCCTGCAGTACGTGGCTTTGTCTTTCTGCAGAATTAACAACGGAAGCAGCATGCGAAATGCCCCAGGCTGCAAATCACCTGGAATATCAAAGCTGCAAAGAACCATCAAAGCTGCAAAGAACCATCAAGTGACATTCAAACCTGCGGACCTGGACGAGACGTTCTACTGGGCCAACCTTCACGTGCACTCAAGACAGTAAGACAGTGCTGGATATACATGCAACGGCATTCATCATGATTTTATGATTTTGATGCCGACAATCCTTTGCTATCACCAATCACTATCCTGTACCCTGAGCAAAAAACAGCCAAACAAGGAAGCTCAACTTCTTCATCCAGAGATGTGCATTCCCTGAAAGTCAAAAGGTGATTTTGGGTAGCCTGGAAAAGCCAACCTTGCTCCAGATGGGGACCTCACCAAAGGGATGTCCCTTACCAATCGAGTTGGGGAGATGTGCATGGTACCCATGCCAATTCGCCCCTACCTTCGCGAATATGGCATACATATACATCCGTAAATACTGGCTTGTCTCAAACTTAGGGAACGCTGAGAGATGGCGTCCTTTAGGTTTAACGTTTCAAACAGCCCCAAAAGGCTGTAGGAGTATCCTTCAAACGGGACACTCCAGTATGTGTCACAGCCCAAACCTGGCAATCAAATGGTCTTCCTCAAGCCATGTAAAGAAGCGCCTTGTATGAGTCACAGCCCAGACCTGGCAATAACATGCTCTTCCCAAAACCATGTAAGGAAGCACCTTGGGCAGGGCACCTATGCTAACCCACGGTCCCTAACCTTTGCTTACCCGGGTGATACCCGCGCAGGCCCCGGGCCCTGTCAGCCGAGCCACGAGTCCTGCCGGCACAAACCGACATGTAAGCTGAGCAACCAGTGAAATGGCAACCTATTTGGGCACCTATTAGGGCACCCAAAGTTGTGGTTGTTGCCCCCAAACTGTGGGGGTGTGTCAAAATAGGGGCCCGAAAGTTGTGGTTGTGTTTTGGTGTGTGGCTTTCCTGTTGGATTCCCTTGATATAACCCCCCCCCTCTCGCCAACCTCAACCAGCAACCAGCCAGCCAGCCAGGGAACCAAACCCAAGAAAAAACACCTCCTTAGCAAAGACAAAAACCTCATCCCGGCAAAAATATAATCAACAACAACGCCTACCCTCAAAAAACGCGCGCGCGCTCTTTTTGTGCTACAAAACACATCAAGCGCAACATGTGCTGCCCAGCACGTAGCTATTGCGCCAATCAGAGTCTGCGTTTGATTCAAGACGAAGGCATGTGGCAGTGTCTGTTTGAGGGTACTCTGTTTATCAAAATAAAGCCATTTGTTGGGTTCCCCCATTTTGACACATATTCATGTGGATCATATACATGTATATATATATATATATGCGCAAAAAACAGTGATACTGCTTCAAGGTATTTGTTTTAAATGCCTGGGCAGCTGCCTGTATATCTTCATGTCTTACATCTTTTAACTTTTGGACAACAATTCTAAATCTGAGATCTAATTGTCTTATATTAAAGACTATCCCATTATGTCCTTTCTCTTTCTTGATTACAGCTTTCATGCTTTTATTAACATTACCTATCTTATCTGGTACACTTCTGTTAATGTTGGGCGATCTTCATTCTAATACACTTTTCTTTGATCCAATATTTGGAGGAGATCCTATCTTCTATCAACATGTATTCTGTTTTTTTGGACATCCAGAAGTTTACATCTTAATAATTCCAGCATTTGGGATCATTTCCACAATAATTTCTGGGACTTTACAGTTAATAATCTTTGCTAAGCATCTTTGCCATGTCATCTATTTCTCTTCTTGGAAGTCTTGTTTGGGGACATCATATGTATACTGTAGGTTTAGAAAGTGATACAAGAGCTTATTCCACAGGAGTTACAATCTTAATATCTTTACCAACTGGTACACAAATCTTTAGTTGGCTTTTTACATATCTCTCCAATCCATCTTTATTACACCTTACAATTACTTCTGTCTTCTTCTTTCTTCTCTTGTTTGTTTACTATAGGTGGGTCAACAGGAATAATTCTAGGAAATGCTGCAAAGCACATGCCGCATGAAATGAAATAATTTCCGTGCTACGAACTGTCATCTGCCAGTGGGCTTAGACTCAAGAGAAGGTTTATCAGTCATGTTCATGCATGCGAACCGCGGTCAATCGAGGCGCGCAAGGAAGAAGGAAATGAATCAAGTTGCCTCGGCCCTGCATTGGCCGACAAGAAATCCGTTAACCGCTCCCCAAGCATTTCTGCACTGAGCACAAGGCTTGAAGACACACGTGTGAGAAGGCAGCATTTCTCTAAACCCCAACCCACGTTGAACAATGCTACGTAGCCACAAGGTCAAACTCTGCACGTTTCAGCAAAAGGTCAACCGCGCATTGAGGAAATGTCCGGAGGCATCGAAATCAGCCCGTCGCATTCTCCTGAACTCAGCCAACATATCAATGTTCCTCTGCAGGTACGACTCATAGCTGGAGCTCTCAGGATAGTCATCCTGACAAATCACGCGCCACGTCACTGTGTTAGAATCGTTAGAAGTGATTGAATGCCTAGACAGTGTTGAAAGGGGCCGATGGAAAGCACAGCGTGCAGTCAGTGCCGAACTTGCCGCTTGGGATCCTCCTTGGCAAAACAGGAAGTTGAAGTTCACTGTCTATGATCGCTCAGTCATGCGAGGCAGAATCCAGCCAAGTTGTCCAGCCGTCAAGTAGCCCAATGCTGCAAAACACGTATTCTGCTGCAGCTGTTGTTCCGATCATTGTCTCATAGACGTGTTCATTTATAGTACTTCATGTAAAACATGCTCATGATACTTAGTGGCCACGACTTCACGCGTGTGTGTGTGTGTGTGTGTGTGTGTGTGTGTGTGTGTGTGTGTGTGTGTGTGTGTGTGTGTGTGTGTGTGTGTGTGTGTGTGTGTGTGTGTGTGTGTGTGTGTGTGTGTGTGTGTGTGTGTGTGTGTGTGTGTGTGTGTGTGTGTGTGTGTGTGTGTGTGTGTGTGTGTGTGTGTGTGTGTGTGTGTGTGTGTGTGTGTGTGTGTGTGTGTGTGTGTGTGTGTGTGTGTGTGTGTGTGTGTGTGTGTGTGTGTGTGTGTGTGTGTGTGTGTGTGTGTGTGTGTGTGTGTGTCCAATCAACGCGGCAAACTTTGATGTTGTGGGGGGGGGAACAGTCTTGATGGGGGGGTACCCTTTGTGAGCTTGTCAAACCTTGCTTGTTTTTCAACAAACTGTGATAAGACGTTGGCTGTTTCCGGCTAGCCGTGTTCTTTTGACGCAATTTCTGGAATGGCAGCCCTTGAGACTATGAAAGGAGTTAGGTTTGGATGGCAGTCGGCTGGGAAAACCGGGCGTCTTTAATCAGGGGGAGTTTAGTAATCATGTGCCGACATTAATAGCCGTCTTGATCAGTTCTACAAGGCCAGTGCATGGCTTGGCGGACACGAGCGCTACCCCCAGCGTTGATTCGACCTTCCCAACTTGTCCGAATACTACCATACCAAGACGTACATCTAACCAGCTAACATAAGACATATTACTGGTATCAGGTATGAGCATCCTAGGGTAAGCTTGCTTTGTACTCAGACACAGCCTCTGCAAGCAAAGTATCATTGGAACAGCTCAGAGGGGAAATGACAAGTGCCCGGCAGCATTCTCGCCCAAATGTCTCAGGTAGTTCAGGTCCAACGAGCCGCTCGCAAGTAGAAAGTTGGTCCCAACAAAAAGCAAATGGCGTCCACCGAGTTCTTGGGTGCTGTAGATCCGCCAGCATAAAGTTAAGCTGTTGGCTGGTTAAAAGGAAATATGAAGGGAATCCCAAAAGTCAAAGTCGAAAGACCCAATAGCGGAGAGCTGATCATCTTTCAGGAGCTCCGATCCAATCCGCTTAACATCGCCTTGGAAACATTGACGACCGCCTTCCGGTCATCTTGCGACAAGGAAACAACCACGGACCTCAACAATCTCCCACGAAACTTGTGGCATGTTCTCTTGTAGCAGCCTTGTACTCATGCCGGCATACGCATGGATTTCTCGAAAGGTCAGCTGTGCCGAGCTGCAAATGCTGACTCAAACTATACCCTTGCAACCAGCCTTCACAATTGGTCATGCCTCTCTGCACCAACGAAACATCTCAGATACAATCCTTGCCAGCGTTTTGGGCTCGTCCGAATTACAAATGCAGCGGGTTGACTCTTCCTTGTCCACTCAGCCCATAGTTCCTCCTTCAAAAGCACCCCACTTAAAAGGAAGCTCACTTTAACTTAGCCCAAAAAACGATGTTACAGAAACTCCAAAAAGGGGACATATACAAAGCCCTTGAGCACGTCTGTTCCTGGGTCCGTCCTCGTGGCAGAACCAGCTCTGAAAGTTGGCCGAGCGATCGATGGATGCAAAGTACTCGCCTCAATCCGCAAACATCTCACAATGGTCCCGAACGCGTCCGAACAGGCAACCCGGCAACCCCCGGCCCCCACATTGAACCAAAGAGGACGGCTTTCCTATGGGCCTTCAAGCCAAGCCCAAGAAGGGTACCCTGCAACAAAAGATACACCCATATTCCTCCGACTCGAAGAAACCACTCTGAGAAAGGGTTCCAAACCAAGAGGCAAAACAACAAGACGCGTTGCTCGTGGGGATGCCTTGCAGTGTGCGATGCTGTGGCGGAGATGCTTCTGCTCGACCACTGCTTTTCGTGAGATTCCCGCCAATGTACGCTGCTTGTCTCCAATATCGGTGCTCAATTGTGGCAATCGGCAAGCCTTGCTTAAACATGTTTAATTTGTCTATCCTAAAGCATAGCCGTAATCAAGGTGCTTGATCATGCTTGCATGGTGGCACCGTCATGCTGAGAAGCATAACTGATCAGCCGATTCTCCGCCAGGCGGTTCCCTTTTGGCGGTTGGGTTGCTTAGACTTGGCTCACAAATCGGTGGAAGCCGGTGCGACATCTCTCCTTCGCAATATGGTGCACCCTCATACGTGGCTCATAAGGCTTCTTGTAGCATGTGCGAGTCTCGGTTGTTTGGCTCCCGTTGTGTAATCGAGTTGATTGACACTCCCTATCCGTCCCTCAGGTTGCAGAGGGGCCCATGCGGGGAACTAGCAAGCAATCTGCGAAGGTTGTCTTTCCATGATTGCAAAAGTCACCTGTATACATATTATGTGCAATAAAATATACATGTATACGTATACTGTATACTTGTGTAATATATATATATATACATACATACATACATCTAACATATATATATATATATACACATATGTGTATAATGTATATTCCACGCTGATGCAGTTGGCACTCTGACCCGCTTTGCAAAGATCAACGTTGGTCACTTAGCTACAGAAAAGACAATGGCTTCATCAAACATGGTTGCCAACTGAAGCACTATTCTTTGCGGAAACACTGCTTGAAGGGTTCGTCCCTTCAACCAGCCAAAAAGTGGAGACTGCCTCGGGTCGAATGCAAACCTAAAGGTTTCAACCCGCAGGTTTGAGGCGTCCCGCTAAAAACGACACACGCACACTCACACAGACAAACAGACACAGACACAGACACAGATATAGACACAGACACAGACACAGACACACACACACACACACACACACACACACACACACACACACACACACACACACACACACGCCTAGATTGCATACACACGAACCAGCTGCTCGACGTTGGCGCAGCACTCTTGGCTCGACGTTGGCTAGGCCGAGTTGCAGCGTGCCTCCTTGGTCACGTGCAGCAGCTCCTGGCATGCATGCAACGAGCCTATGGGTTTAGGATGGATTTGAGAAGGGTGGGGCGTTGGGTTTAGGCCAGCGTTCGGGTTTGGAATCGGTTCGGGACTCAATCCCGAACGGTGAAGTCGAAGTCCTGAATGGGAAGGGGAAACTCACCGTGCAACCCTTGAGGGCGTTCCAGCCGTGACTACGTTGAATGGGTCAGAGTAACCAGACTCCACCTTGTGATTCCAACGAAACCATGCGGAACAATGCGGAACAGGAGTGATCCAAAGACATGTTCTCTTAAATTTGCTCGTGGTTTGGTCATTTGAACAGCCACAACAGCCACTCCGCGCACTAAACGGCTACCTCGGCTACTGGCTGGCTAGCACAAAGTGCCAAAATCTGATACCAATCGCAGGGGCGCTTCCAATACCCTACGTAGAGCTATCCACATGGGCAACGCAAAGACCACTCCTCCTGCGAGAGGCAGCTCTGGTACGTCGCATTCAGTGCCGTCAGCTCCTTGACGCATTGCGCATGAGCGGCCTCGGCAAACAAGCGAGCGAGGGCTTGCATCAAGGGTTGGCCCTTCTTGCTCAAGACCTGCACAATTCAGCCACTATTGTTCAAACGACCCCCCCCATGTCGGTTTCTCCTTAAAGGGACGGGAGCTGAACGTTCAAATACATGTATGCAAGAGTGGCCAACACCAAGCAAATGCAGTCATGTGGCCGCGAGGTCATGGATCGATTCAACCATACACATATAGGTAACATTGCCCTTTGGAATGTTGCCTGGTATCATGCGAGCCTATAGTATCTAGGAAACCAGCAGCTCTTACATCAGGTGATGTAGGAGGTTCGACATCTACTGGTGGACTCACAGTAGGCAGCTCGACGTATTCGACCCTTAGTCTGGGATCCTCCCAGCGATCAGCCGGTGAAATCTTGATCCCCGGAAACGTTGACGCATTCGCGCCTGCTCTGGACCAGCCCTAGGCCAAATAGCATTTGTTGCAGTTCTACATGAGACTCTGACGGTTGCTAGAAGCCCTCATTTCAGTGGTAAGAAAAATACTTGCTCCATACGCTGCGCGCAAAATCGTCACAAGGGCGTGATACCGAGCGTGAAAGTCACCTTGCCCTTGCCCCGACAATCTTGTCGCAAGCCCAACCTCAACTCAGTGCTTCGCTGGCACTCAAACAATGCCCCTGAACAAATCCGTACGGCAAATGCGAGCGTGTCTACCAAGCAAACGGTTCTCACGGTTCATGCCTGAGGTTGCTGTTCTATGAAGTTATAAGGGCCGAAACAACACAAATGCGGGTGGGCACATACTTGTAAAACCAAATGTGTTTACACTGACAGAACCAAACAACATTGGTATTGTTTTGAGATTGTGTCCCAATGATTGGTTTCTTCACCGAATAAGGACAGGATATACAACTCTTAGGGGCCTCATGGATGATTCTCAAAGTCGGGGTCCGCCGATTGAATGGTAAGCCAAAAGCGAAAGGAAACCAACCACCTAGAAGGGCTCAAGGTTGAGAACAAGTATGGGTATGATTTGTTAATGGGTTCCGGACCCTCTGGTGGAGATCAATTGGGATTTATGTTCACCCATGTATTCCAAAACATCATTGCAATGGGGGGGGTTCTCAAACAGATGGCCCCTTTTGGCCTGTTCCACGGCTGCCGAAAAGTGGACCTCTAGTGTTGACAAGCCATATTCTGCTATATGTTGATTTCCTTTAAACGTCCCTTTGCCACCAAAAGGGTACCAGGGAAGCCCGGTACCCTGAAAAAAAAGCAGACCATCTTGGCAGCCTCTCAAAATGGTGGATCCCCTGCGGGACCAAAGGGACACCGACCATTTTTGGGGACAAATGGTGGATTCTCTGGGGGACAACAACTAGGTCCTCCAGTAGAGAGGTTAGATTTTTTGGGTACCAACTTTTTTCTGTAGTCTATTTTACTAGGGGAACCCTCCCCAACCAAAAAAGTTGGAAGGGCACCTGGCTGGGGGACCTAGACAAAGCCGTTGCCATTTTAGGGGACCAACTTTGCGAAACCTTCGGTTCACCAAACTCGAGGCACCGATTCGGTGGTTCCCCCGGAGAGCGCCGAGATGTCCGCCATGGCAGCCCCCTGGCAGAAGGAGCGAGCCGGCACTGTCCCAAGTGGCTGTGTCTTACCACAATTGGGTATCCCGAAAATGCGCAGCTTCCTTCTGGCTTCTGATTAAAGCAGCTCCAATTGTGCCAACTGCTTTCACCCATTTTTCAAGTATTACGAGCCTGTAAACTGCCATGCATGGTTTCTGTTTTGCAATGTTGAAGGAAAACAACGTAGCGCACAGTGTTGTTCGAGTATTGGGGCGCCGTGTCCAAGCGCTTGAAAGATTGGACTTGTTTGCCTGCGGTTGCTTCAAAGGGGGGACCCAGTTCTTCTCAAGCATGGAAGAATGCACCAATTATCTGATCAGGCGTTCACATGCTTGCTTTCCAGCACTGCCCGATTTGCTTGCATTTAAATTTGGGGTGGGGCTAGAACACAAATCAGCAGCGACATGTTTCAAACCTGAAAAAAAAACGTGGGCCCAACACCAATCAACAACCCTAACAACCCTTAAGAAAACCCAGAATGCTCAAAAACTAGAGAAACCAAAGAAAACAACAACCACCAAAAACACACCCAGCGCCGCCGGGGATGTTTGTTTTCCCCAAGCGAAATGCCCAAATCGCCGCCTTCTGGGCGGTGCACTGAGTGTAGAGCGAGGTGTTCTGCACCCCGGCTTGCGCCGCGTTTGCTTCCGAGGTGATGCTGCCCAGCATGCCGTCCACCTCTCAGCTGCGCGTTGCGTGGGTGGCTATGGGTGGCGTCCGGAAATCCGGGAGAACCCGAGGTCAAAAGGGTGACCTGCACGTGGACCAATCCACAAACACCTCTCAGCGTTCTGGCGGTGAAGCGGATGGAAGCTCTGGGCTTCAAATCCGAGCTCAGTGACCAACTCAGGGTGACATGAACTTGGATTCCACTTCTCCCGGAAGAAAAAAAAGGGGCCCGAGCTCGGCGTTGACCCGCCAACCGGGTTTCTGGGCCCAGAAACCGCAAGGCAAAAAGGAGGTTGGGGAGGAGCGAACAGGCGCCCCGAAACAGAGAATTCGGAAGGTGTTTGGATTGAAGCAGTCTGGTGTTTGCCTCTTGGAAAAGCCTTCTGGGTTTCCCCCCCCAAAAAAAGGGATGGTGAATGCCACCCTCAGAAAGGGAGGTGACTTGGGCCTGTTCCCATGAGCGCGTACCCCTCATCAGGTGGCAAAGCTCTGAAGGCCGTACAACAAGAGAACGCTGATAAGCTCGATGCGATTTCTGCTTGGTGGTCTTGCCTTAAAGGTACAATACCTGTAGGGGTACATGGATTGACAGTTTCTTCTGCTGTATCAATTTGATGCCAACGTGCTGGTGTGTTTGCGCCCGACAAACAAACGGTGTTAAAGTCGAATTGATTGCAGGAGTCTCTGGAGAAAACTCTCTCTCTCTCTCTCTCTCTCTCTCTCTCTCTCTCTCTCTCTCTCTCTTGTACCCCCATTTAGGTGGACCGACCAAACTGCTGGCCGAAGCACGACCCCCTGTGGAAGACTACAATTTCCATCCAATTGCCTTATCAGAGAATGGAAGTGCGTTGTCACACGTTCTCGTGCTGTTGCCGTGTGCTGCGGTTTGTAGGTTTGTTGTTTTTTTGGTTGGTTGCTTTGCTGGTTTGTTGGTTTGTTGGCTTGTTGGCTTGTTGGCTTGCTGGCTTGCTGGCTTGTTAGTTTGCTGGTTTGCTTGTGTGACAAGCTTGCACAACTAACAAACAGTCCAGCAAGGCAGCAAGCCTCCCCCACACGCCAGGGAGGGATCTGGATCTGTCGTACTCTTGCCGGGCCACAAGTCCCTTGATGGTCTGGATGGTCTCCTCCACACCGCCTCACCGGAAAACTCGCCGCAAGTCAACCACATCCCGCGGCTCGGGGGACCCTTAAAAACATATATTGCTCAATGAGAAAAGGATGGCACCAGGAATTGCGGAAGAAGCCATGGCTTGTTCTGTGAGGCAGGCAAGCATCGCATGAATGCGCATGAAACATTTCACCAAACAAAGGCCGTCTCAAGGATCCACGGGCACGAACGTGTTGCGCGTGGCACTTTCCTCCAGCTTCTGGCGTGAAGTATTGGACATTCAAATCCGATCTTACTGTCTATCTCGGATCCCCAAAAGTCCAATCACTTTTGAAATCCGTGCTATCGCATGGCAGCAATTCTCTCTGCCCCACAGGCCGCTTCGGATGGCCTAACAAATGGAAGGAGCTCTACATAGGGATCCTTGGACATCAAGGAAAGGTTTGTCCCACCCAGAGTCAATGCAACCTGGCTGTGGGTCAAAACCAATGGGATCCCATTTTGGGGGGAGGTAAATTCACCACCCATTTTGGTACCTATGTTAGTGGCTGGATTTGAATCGGATGTTCACTGGGGGCGAACCGGGCTTTTGATTTTGACCCATGGCCACCGGTGGGGTCCCAATTTCTCGCCCGGATGGATCGCTCGGCCGATTCGATTCGGCCGATTCGGCGTCGATGGCTCCGCCTGACTTGGAGAGGCTCTGCGCGAGGCTGGCCAGCGAGGCCACTTCGAACTGGCTCGGGTCCGACTTGGCGTTGGCCGCGGCCGCCACCAGCGACAGCAGCGTCTGGCGGCAAAGGCGCCAAGAGTCCCTCCAGTAGAGAGGTTTTGAATTTGGGGGTACCCTTTTCAATAATTTTGGGTACCCACTCTTTTCTGTAGTCTATTTTAGTAGGGGAAAACGGTGAGAAAGGGCACCTGGCCGGGGGACCTAGGGCAAAGATTCCCGGCAGTTCAGGGAGGGCTCTTGAAAAAAGCTTGGATGGAGCCATGCTGCCAAGGAGGACAGTGCAACAACCTTGGTTGACGTTGGAAGGGGAGCAAACATTGAAATGCTAGCAGTTAAGGGGGATGTCCGACTAAACCACAATAAGCAAACATTAAAAATGTGTCCCAACACAACCATGCAACAATGTTGGCGCTCCCAGCCTTGCTCTCAAAGTTTCCGGGATGGTTCTAGAAGGAATGCAACGAAAAGGTCTCACCATTCCCCAAACCCGCAGACAAACACCAAGGCATTCTTCTGGTCGTTGTGTTCAAAGGAAAACCCGCTCCAAAAAGAAGGAAGGGGAATCTTTCCTGGCCTGGCAATAGCTCGTTTTTTCGGGAATTTCCTTGGGGGTGTGGACATGAACTCGGATGTGTTGGTCAAAAAGCAGCAGGACTGCCCCTCAGCCAGTTGAGGCCGGAGCACTCCCCGAGTGAAAGATTCTTGTTCACTGAGGAGCCCTACGTGAAACCCAGGTCCCAAACCTATGTAAAGAATTGTGAGGCGGATATGCACACGGATCTTTGCAGGGACGATCCCTTAGTAAGCTTCACTTGCTCGGGTTTTGAGGCAGTGTCTGTGTGTGTGTGTGCGCGTGTGTATGTGGGTGTCACAATCACAGTTCCAGTAAATTATACACTAAGTGAAGAACCGCAAGAAAACATTATATCGTGACCATGGCTCCCACGGAAACGGAATTTTAGTTCCTTTGGCTTCCAAAAAAAGCAAAAAACAACACCTGGCCAACCAAAACACCACCAACAAAAACAACGCGCCAAAAAGGCCGCGGTTTCGCCGCGGAGGGTTTCCCCAGGCGCTTTCCCCGCCTGCTGCGGCGCCTGCACGTTCGCGCGCAGGTTCCCCAGGTAGCCCACAGACTTGGCAGCGCAGCCGGAGGCAAGGAGGAGCACAGCGGCCTTGGAACTCCAAAAGGGCACTCTGAAGCTGGCTTCTCATTTTGGGTTTGGGGTGGGGTTCGGGTGGGGTGTTAGCTGTTAGTAGGTGTGGGGTGGGTTTGGGATGGGGTTGGGGTGCGGTGTTAGGTGTTAGTAGGCGTAGGGTGGGTTTGGGGTGGGGTGTTAGGTGTTAGTAGGCGTAGGGTGGGTTTGGGGTGGGGCTGGGGTGGTGTTAGGGTGTGTTGAGGGCTTCCCTGGAAATCCCGAGTTCAATCCTAAAGCCGCTCCTAGCAAGGAAACCACACGAGGTACCAAACAAACTCCAACAAACTGCGCAACCTGATGAACAAAATCCTGCACCAGTTGGGATGGAAGCTATTGGGATAAACCAAGTGGAGCGAAATGGACTTGATCCATCTGTATGCACCCCCCAAGAGAACCCCGCAGGACCCCAAATACCACTGGAAAATGGGAGCCATTCGGCAAGGCCTTTCATAAGGGTGGGGTGGGGTCCTTGAGTAACTTGGCTTGGAGTATAGTTTGAACCCTTGATCCAAGATTTTGCTGACACAATACATGGACCAATCCTTCACATCGGTGGGCTATAGCAATTCACCCACAAAGTCCGGCATTGCGGTGTGGTCCTTTGGCCTTCGAGGCGACTTTGTCAAGACTGCAAACTGGATGCTGACAAAACAGTTTCCTGTTTCTTCGCTGGAGTCCAACTGGCCAGAATCAAGCCAAGTCGAATACAGCCAGCTGCTAAGCGGAGAATGAAAAAACGTGTGCCCAAAAAGACTCGGACACTGCTCCCTCATGCTGGAATCTCCAAAATGGTGTTCCTAGTGGAATCCCTTTCAACCGACCAGAAACGGGTACCTTCAAAACAGACCCAAATCGCCCAATGCCAGCTGCTGCTCGGACGCAGGCAAAAGCAATAAGACATAAAATACATTTGTTTGCATAGTATGAATATGCATGGATGATGAATTATACTCAACCTATTTGGAGCGGTGCTAGTTCTTAACACGCACCAAAGTAACGTCGGAGACGGTGTGCAAGTGCACACACGAATGACGAAATCAACCCTCGCCGACAAACACGCTGAGCTTCCTTGGAGAGCTTCCGTGGGATCGATAAAGATCATGAAGCAAACACATTGGAAGGGATGAACCTCAAAGGGCTAAGATACTTCTCTAAGTTGAATTCAACAACACCCGCCAGGCATGGCAAAGCAACGTCATCTTCAACAATGACAGGCTTGTGAAAAAGGTGCTCATTTGAACCTCAAGGATGCCGCCACAGTCTGCTGCCAAGCTGCAAACTTCATTTTCGGCAGGAGCTCGGGAAAATAACGAAGCGAGCCGACAAAACAAAAGGCCTTGCAGCGTCTGTGCTTGAGCCTAGACGAGGGGTGCGACTGCCTTCACCCAGAAACGAGGACTCGGAGCTGAGGCCTTGTCTCAAAACAAGCGCCCGTAGTCACCAAGGTCCTCCAGTAGACAGCTTAGAATAAGGGTACCCTTTTTCTGTAGTCGATTTTAGTAGGGGAGCCGAATCTCCCCCAAAAAAGAAAGGGGTGAGAAAAAGCACAAATTGCTGGGGGACCTAGTTGATGCTGTGGATGGACGACATCCATAAAACGCACCACCTAAGAAACCTGGAATGATGATTCCCGTGTAAATACAAACAAACATTGGGTTTCAACCACGGTGTCTATGGCCTGGTGCATGGATCGGCACCGCCGGTCACAAGATCCGATCCACCAATGCCCGGCCGCTTCGCGACTGGGAGAAAAAACAGGGCGATTTGTTCGGTGGCCCATAACACCTCCAGGTTCCTGGTAGAGCATTCTCTTTTTGTTTTTTTTTGTTTTTTTTTCCGCAAGCCTTCTCAACACAATGACTTCTGCCAACGCGATTCTAATTTCTTTCAAGTGGGGTATGCGATCCTTTTCCTCACTCGCCCCATGCGTTCTCGTTAAGAAAAAGAACAAAAACAAAAAAAAACACGAGGCCGCGCGTCCGCGGTCTCCCTGCCTCGCGCCGGGCGCGACGCATCGCCTCGAAGCGCCCGACTGCCTTTCAGATCCGCTTCTGTGGACCGGAGCCGCTTCAAAATCCCCCACGAGCAAACCCCAAGGAAGACATGGGACAATCAAGGGGCAAGACATAGACATAGGGGTAAGACATAGGACTTGAGGATTACTTACCCCCTTTTTTTTATTTTGATGCTTGGCTAATCCTTAAGGGGTATTTTTTCCAGGGGTCTGGCGGGCCAGCCTTTGACTTTTGTTAGATTGGTCAGAGCTGAGAAGCCTGAAAGAAGCTTGAGGCCGTGACTCTGAAGGTCGATTCTTGCTGTGGGATCATCATTATCTTGGCAAGCTAGGAAATGACGCCTCGACGTGGTGGACACATATCCCTTGCTTGTTGCAAGTAATGTGGATATTCTGGATCAGTTTATAGGTGATTCGAATCGTCACATCGGCTGGTTCTAAATTGAATGCTGGTCCTGCCAAAGTCCAGGCATTTGGATCTTATGTCACATCCCTAGCCCACCTTGATTGACTGCGCTCGCGACGCCGCACAAAAAACCTTACGAGGAGTCATTTAGCGTCAAGATGTATGGCCTACCGGTACATGCCAGGAAAGGGGGCCCAATCTCCAAAGATCTCCATTGGATGGTCTCAGTCAGAGCAGATGCTGGACTTTCAACTATGGCCTGTCCCAATTGGTGTGTTTTTGTTAGGTTCGGCTAAAATGAGAACCAAACGGAAACCCACCATTTTGAAAGATCTCCCTATTTGGACACAAACCTAAGTGGCTGCTGCGATAGTAAATAGATGGGCCTCAATGTCGACCAGCGATTCGTATGCCTGGAGTTATCCATGACGGATAGGCTGCCTTCCCTGCGTTACTTCTGCATCCATAGCACAGTCAACACCTGGTGGTTGATGCCAAGGGATGGAAGCCTTTTGTGCGATCGATGATTCATCCCTTGCCTTTCGAGAACTAACCATGGATGGCGATGTTTTTTTAGCGCACCACCATGAGAAGCCAGGAAGATGCTCAATCAAAAGGCCATCCCCGATCGAATTCTCGGGCAGCGGCCCCAAAGTCTGACTCCTGGCCCGGGCACAAAAGGGCTTCATCGATTTATCTGTGCCTGTCGTCGGAGTGCAGCTCACAGTTGCCCCAGACCGCAAAACGAGCCGCAAAAAAAGAGAGCCGTCGTTTGTTCCAGACGGCTGGAGGAGAAGGGTCGCACTGGTTGGCTTTCAGGGTGTGGCCTACATGGTAACAGGACACCTTCAAACGTGTTTGGTTGCAACGTCACAGGCAGCTGGTACCAAAGGAATGGAACCCCAAGCACGTCGCATGACTCACCCAGGCGCCGTAGGTCAAACCTACAGCCTCTTAGCGTGCCCTTCCAGGCGAAACAAACTCAGCGCACTTGTCCCGACCCTGTCTCCTTCGGAGCAAAAAACAAAAATGGCATGGGTCACTCCCTGCGCGCCTCGCTGTCCCGGCGAGAAATGCGGGCCCGCATTGATAGGCAAAGGCCGGCGGACGTCAACTCTTACGCCGGGATGCCGAGCAAACAGGGAATGAGTTGGAATGAGCCCTAAAAACTCATCCCCCATGGCTTCCTTTGGAATCCCCTGCCGGTTCATTCCCAGCACTCTGGGTCACTCCCAAATGAGCACCAGCAAGTCATGGTGTTCCTATCAAGCCAAGAGGACCTCCTGTCAGTGAATGTCCGCCCGTGGAGTAGTAATTACTTCCAGTTAAAACACAAGCAATTAGTGTCCCCAGTCTCAGACTGACCGTTGCCGGAGACAAGCATGTGGCCGTCTCAAGGCGTCCTACTGCAAGCCGGATATCACAGAGACCAACATGTAGCCGCCAAGGTTGCAAGCTGATACCCTCCAAATCCCTCCAAGATTCGGTACCTCTTGCGACCAAATAAACCTGCCGTACCAGTCTATGGCATTTGGTGCAAGGTCGCATGCCGCCCCGGTAATATTTTTTTCTTCACCCCGCCGCAATGGCCGGGAACGGGCTCGCAAGCGAGAGGGGAGCGGTGGTGCGCTGATCCCGTGCGGACGAAGCCGGAAGTCCGGAAGCAGCCGAAGGCTCCGGGAGGTCTGGAGGGGTGATCGTCTACAAAGACCGACTGAGAGCGAAGGGCGTGTCAATGCAACACATGAATTTACACCCAGCCGAATGCTGCAAAGATCAAGCAAGGTGAAGTGATATTCAAACACAAAACATCAAACTGCGTCCTTTGCGTGCTGAATTGCTCCTTTTGGTGGCCGCGGTGGTCCGAGAAGGAATCACACACACACACACGAGACTGATAGGAGCACATGAGGACAGCTGTTTTTGCCCTCTACCTGTGCCCTCTGAGGAGCAAAACACTTGCTCAAGTGGCTTCGCGGATGTGCCTTCAGAGATCTTTGGAGTTGGGAGTGCTGAAAACGCCCTTCCTTTGCATGTGGACATCTGTGACATCGCATGGATCTGGGAAGATTTCTGGGGAGGTCGCATTTCGCGCAAGGATCAACTTACCAGTCGGAGCCCTGTTGAGAGTCCGGGTAAAACCTGCCATGCTTTGCACGCAGGCGTGCAGTGAACCTGAAGCACTTGTTGCTTTTTCGACCTACTCTTGTTTTGCGTGCGGCAAAGGAATTGTCAACACAAAGTGAAGGCAGCTAATTCTCATTTGCCAAACATGAGACGTGCAAATCTGGCCACGCAAGGATTACCGCACGCAGCACAAGCATCACTGAATTCTGGGACATTTGTTGTCTTTGCCTCGGCCTACAGGGCCGACCTGCAGCTGCATATTATATGCTCAGGCGCGTGCCAAATGGCCAAGAGAGGCGCTTTAACCATGTGACGAGGCCTTGGATCTGAGTATTCTGCTTCTGCTACTGGACAACAGGCGTGCAGAGGTAGCGCCCTCCCCAAAAGGCAACTGCGGCGAAGCGAAGATCTCCAAATTCTTCGGCAGATCACACGGCTTTTCATCCGCCTGCCGCCGGAATTCGCGATCATGGCCGGAACAAAAAGGCTTTCCAAAAATGAGAACCCCAGCGACACCTTCCTAGCCAACACTTTCAAGGAGGCATCACAATTCTGGCACCAGCTTGGTTTCACAACAACCTCACAGTAGAAAAGTGTCGGCCCCTTGCAAAGTTGCACACAGCCGGTTTAAAGCACATGTCCACAGTTTGCATGAAACGGACTTCCCTTCTGGATCTGCTTGGTGGCTTCCCTAATTCCTGGAAATTGGATCTACGCTCTACTGGCTCAAGTCGGAACCAATTGGGTCTTGCCTTCTCCCCAGCCGCCCAACTCAAATGAAGAGTATTTGAGTAGGCTGCCACTAAAACAAGCATGATATCCATGCTGCCAGCAACACAGTTCTTTGAAGAGTGGTCCTTCTAAGAGACTTAAACTCTTCCAAACCACATTCCGGGGTCACTTACAAATCGGATGCTGACAATGGGGAGATGTGGAGCGAGTCCTTTACCGTTCTGTACACTGCAGCTGACCAACAAATCTAACAATGACAAAAGGGCTGTGTCGCAGTCATACGTCAAATCCAACCTCACCTGGAACTCATGTCATCCCGAAATGGGCTTCATATCAAAGCAGCTGACCGCACGCATCAAATCCCTGGACCCCAAAAACCTGGATCGATTGCTTGTTTTTGTTTTGTTTTTGCTTTTTTCCTACCCTACACAGTGTAAGAGTGGCGGCGGCAAATCCGAGCTTTTGGATGAACTGTTGCTGATGGTCAGAGCGCGGCATGATTTGCACCCCCGCTTCTCGCCTGTCTGCTGGATGATGGACTGCGTATAGAAGACAATGAGAACGATCCTGAAATTGAGATGAACAGACGCTCGATTCGAAGGCGAAGGCTAAATGGGAATGTAGCAATTATGGTCATGCCCGCTAACACTCCAGTCAAATCGTTGAAGTGCCACTTGTCACACACCAGTAACTCCAGCCACATCAATGGCGTTGCTCAACAATCACACGTGCGGCATTCCCGCATACGAGCTGGACTTGTGCATTTTGTCCAAACCTAAAGTGGCTTGGTCATGGAGCAACCAGAAACAGGTGATCCACTAGTCCAGCACAGCTTCCAAAGGATCAGTCGTTGCTCTATCATAAGCGGCTATTTGCCCGTCAAGCATGCGACCAGCACAGCCGAGTTGCCTTCATTATACGATCCGGCGTACATGTGTCCCCACAAACAAGCCCAGCATAGCCTAATATGCTCGTTTGTGATGTTCGCTTGGTCGTACATTCGCATTGCAAACCAGGACAGGAGTTGCACGTGGCCTTCAGACCAGACATATGCTGTGAGTTAGGGCAAGATCCCAGGACACGACCCGAAGAAGCACTCGCTTGCCCAAAGAAGATGCAAGCACGCTAGCAAGATATCGCAAGGCATCGGCCTTGCAAAAAAGGCAACAGTGCTGGCCCAAGGCCAACAATGGCAACAACCTAGTCATGACAACCAGATGTTGAATCCACACAAAGTGGTTAGCTGTGTCTTAAAACTGAGGACCCCGAAACGAAGGGAAAAAACGGTGGCTTCCCTTTGGTTTCCCTTCAAAACTTGCCATAAGGGCACCCTCAAAAAGCGGTGTGTTTTCAGATCCATCGCTTCATATCTCGTCCCACCATCCAAAAACCACAACAACAAAAAACCGAGGAGCCCCAACCCAACCCCCCCCCCCCGGTTTTTTTTGCCCGGTCTCCGTCGGGTTTCCCCGACCCCGACACCGAGGCGCAAGAAGGTCACCACCAGCGTGGTGCCCAGCACTACGCTCACGATGATGGCGTTGAACCTCAGCGAGGAGCAGAGATTTCCGCGGCAATTCGGGATCAGGTGACCAAACAAGGGGGGGGCGCAATTGTCTTTGGTGATCCCCCCCCAAAACAAAGGATTTGCAGGAGACCCCCCCAAAACAAGAAGGTGACCGAACAACCTGAAGGATTGTGGATCAGAATCCCCCCCCCCAGAAAAATGAGGAGGTGAAGAAACGACGATGGCATTGAACCTGCTGGCAAAACTTGCATCACCCAAATGGCGGACCCGGTATTTCTTGCCGTACTCCCCCCTTCCCAAACCCCCCCCTCCCAAAAAAAAGGTGACCAACTACAAGGAAAGGGACGCAAAACACAAGCTTCATGCAGGCCCGCACAGTGGTTAAACCATCAACCAGCAGTGATGCAGCGTTCAAAGAAGGCCCCTCCAGGTATGGAACCAATCCATTTGCGCCCTTGAACGCTGCCGGCCGCGCACAGGAGTGCGTAATTGTGTCCCGGAGTGACAGTGGATTTTGGCGAGCCCTTACTTCCAAACGGGTGAGTGTGACCCATTTCCTGCACAGGCAAATCCAAATCGTGCCCCCAGTGAACATCCAATTCAAATCCAACCACTAAAATAGGTTCTGAGATGGGTGGTGAATTCACCAATCCCAACCAAACTGGGATCCCGAAACGGTGTTGACCACCCACGGCCACATCTCGCGATGCCCCACACGTCCGGCTGCGCTCAGCCGCTCAGCTCCCCGGCAGCTTTGGGCCCAGGACTACCCGGGCCGTCTTCCTGGGGTCGCTGGCCTCAAGCTTCGAGCAGACTTCCGACGGATTGGCCCCAGTCTCACTTGCTGAGTGGATGGCCCACAAAAAGTCCAAACTTTATATTTGCCACTAAAATGGTCATCCCCAAAAGTTGAAAGTTCATGAACTCAGGAAGTGAGCAGTCCCTTAGTATTTCATCTTGGAGCATGAGGCCCAATTTCCGATGATTTCTCCTTCCGGGTTGCCTAGAAAGAACGAGATCAGCAACAAAAAATGCAGATTTCGTAATTGCATTGCATAGTGTTCGAATGTGTCAGGGCTACCCTTCTGGCGGTTGGACCAGCTGCCATTGTTCAGCTTGGAATTTGAACACGTAGCCATGACATCTGGCATGTTCAAAACTGCTGGGTGGGACATGGTCGTGTGTGCAGCCACAGGAACCGTTGCAATGGTCTAGCTAAACGTTGCCATGTCTGACGCGAGCTCGCATAGTCCACTCAGCCCTCTTTCAGGAAGGTTGAAAACCGAACCGGAAACCCGTTAACCGAACCGGTTTTCAAAACCGCAAGAAAACCGGAAACAAACCACAAACCGAACCGAACCAAACCGAACAGAAACCGAACCGTCCCCAGGTTTGCAGGGCAGCGAGCGTCAAAGCAACAAACCCGCATTACTGATTTTTGCCTCCGCAGTGCTCGCAACACACGAAACATCGCTGACATTTGGCAAGAAAAAAACAGTGACCTTTTTTTTTGGGGCTGCTCGGCTTTGGCGCAGACAGCATCGCCAACAGCACCGCCACGGGATCCCGCTCCAAAGCGGCGGCGCCTTGCCGCCTTGCCCTGGGCCTGCCCTGCCCTTCCCCAACGCCCCACCAGCCTGATTGCCAGAACTTTTGGCACGCTTAGCAGGCCACTGCAGCTGAGGCCCCTTTGCTGCACGCGTCAAGCCAACAAACCCGCATTATTGGCCGCTTCTGGTTCTGTTTTGCTTCCGCAGTGCTCGCAACACACGAAACACCGCTGAAATTTGGCAAGCAAAAAAAACGGCCCATGAGCGGCTTTTGCGCTTCTGAGCTTTGACTGCAGAGATGCTTCCCAAGGCCACGTGCGCGGAACAACATGCTCAGCATCAGTCAGTGGCATGGTTCGGTTCGTTTGTTTGTTTGTGTGTGTGTGGTTGTGTCTGTGTGTGTGGGCGAAAGCAGACTGAGTTACCTGGAGCCTTATCTTACTTTTCTGCATTAACCGTGCAAACCGGCAGGTTTTGGAAGGTTATGAGTAACCGCCACTAACCGGAGAAAGGTTTTCAAAAGGTTTCAGAAACCGAACCGAACCGAACCTAACCGTGGCCACCCTGCTCTTTGCTTGAGCATAGAATGATGATATAGCGCTTATATCAATCATGATGTGGAAGGGCGCACGGACGCTGATGGGGAACAAAAAGCAAAGATAGGAGTCCAGGCACATTTGATTGGTTTTAATGCTCCAACAGGTCAGTTGTTGAGTTTCCCAACGAAGATGCCATGCTTGGATTTGTCCGGGAGATTTGCTTGCTGACTCAAACATGCTCGGGATCCCTCACTGTCTCCCCTCACTGTCGCCCCCGAAAGATCACTATTGCTTTGCGCAACAAGTGCTCTCACCGCAACTCACCACCATGCTAAAACCCACAAAAAACACACAATCAAAAACACATCTTAAATCAAAAAACAAAAAAATGCGCGCGCGTGTTCGCCATCTCGGGGAAGATCAACCCTTCATGAACGAAACAGCGTCTGCTCAACTCTAGCCCAGGTCTGACACAGCCGGTATGATTGATATCCGGCTCCATAGCGAAACTCGCAATACATCATGACAACAAAGAATAAAGGCACGGTAAAGCAAAGCAAGGGAGGGCAAAGCAACACGCACGCACGCACGCACGCACGTACGCACGCACGCACGCACGCACAGAGAGAGCGAGAGAGAGAGAGAGAGACACACACACACACACTCACACAGAGAGACAGAGAGAGACACACCGCACAACCCAAGAACACAACGCAACACAACACAGCACAGCGCAGCAAAACATATAAATGTACTTCCTAATATGCACACAACACGCACACACACACACACAACGCATCACAAACACAGACACAAACACAGGCACAAACACAAACACAAACACAGAGAAAGAGAGAGAGGGAAAGAGAGACAGACACTCGCGTACATACATACAGAACAACACAATCAACATGAGAACTAATGCGCAGCACACAACGCAGCCCTGCCTTCATTTGTTGCCACCAGCCAATACAAAGCAACACGTGATCATGCTAGAGGGCTAAACAATAACACTTCACGTTCAATGTACTGATTTCTGTACTGGGGGCCTCAAGACAAGAGATTCAGTGTCTGTCTGGCTTTTACCTTTGCCCAGAAAGTTGACTAGGGAAGAACTACTGTGCGTTCCCGCTGCCACAGGCTTCTGACGCTGCGAAGAAATCAGAAAGCCTGGATCTTGGACTTGGGACTTTCACCCAATCAACTTCTCCTCAAGTGGGGTCAAAATTGAACCCCCAGGAATCGGACCGCAGGTTAATCGTCCATGTTTCCATCTACCATTCCTTTTTGGGGTACCCATATTTTTGACCCACAGCCAAGTCACTCTTGCCTCTTGGCCAGGGTCCCGGGCCAGCATTTGGAGGGAGAGCCGGTCCTGAGCGGTTTGAGGCCACGTGTGAAGATGGACTCAAGCGCTCCTTGTCTCACGAGTGGAAGGCCCGCGGACGCCCGCGGACACGTCGTTGGCCGTCGAAAAGATTAAACCCAAGGTACAGCCACACACGCAATCAACCACACAGCTGGAGTCAGGCATATATACACTCGAATAGTCAGTTGGTCAACGTCGCTCCGAGCTCATTCATTGCCACACCCGCGAATCTTGCCGCGTTCAGAGCTAAAAACGCCGTGGCCAAATGCACCTGCGGCTTACGAAACGAACGCCACGGGGGCCCTCAGGGCCCAAATTGCCTTGAGCGTAGGTGAAGAACACGGCTCTGCGCTGGCGCAACATTGACCTTCCAGTTATGAGATGCCTTGGAATCCAGGGTCGAAAGGACGGCACGCCGATAGCTTCATCCTTTGTTCGGGGCATCAGGCCTCTGAAAGGTTTGGTGCAAGCCAGACGCTTCCTCCAAGAATGAAGGCGTTCTGGACGTGGCTCAAACTAGGGGCCCATGTTGGGGCACCCAACTGGAAAATGGAAATAGACTATAGCACCTGAGCTCTGCAGCCCTACGTGGAAAAACTCCAGCGGTCCCCCCAGCCGCGGCCGGCTTCGTCGCCTTGGGGGGCGCGAAGACGCCCGCGATGGCGGGGCTCTGCTGCGCGAGCTCGTAGGGGAGGATCTCCACCTAGGCATACTGTGGATGGTTGCGAAATCCACTTCGCACTACTTGGAAACCATGGTTGAAACCAGCGCGTTCGTTGGTATTTACAGGGGAATCATCAGAAACCAGGGTTTCTTAGGTGGTGCAGGATTTCGTCCAGGTCCTCCAGAGAGCTTGGAATAAGTTGGGGAGCCCCGATAGTTTTCTGTGGTCTACTTTAGTGGGGGAACCCTCCCCCAAAAAAGGGGAGAGAAAACCACTGATGGACCCAAACTTCCACTTTTTCACTACCCCAAGATAGACCTAAACCCAGAATTGGTTGATTTCCCCCAAATACACACACACCGGGGGTTTAAGTCTATTGGGGGTAGTGAAAAAGTGGAACCCTGGATGGCCCTGGTGGATGAACCAACAGGAAAAACCCGGGCCGGCTCTTGTCTTCGACCAAACAGGACGACCTATGCAAGTTGGATCGGTTGGACTCCGAACCCCCGAGTCTCCTAAGTTGGATCGGGGGCATCTTTCGCTAGGTGCTGAGGGAATGACCCCAAAAAAGGTGGTGGGAATAAACCGGTTTTGGAGATTCCCTTATAGGGGATGATTTATAGGGGTCATTCCAACTCATTCTCCGTCGAGCTTCGGCTGGAGAAAATAGACAAACAAAAACAACGGGAACCAGCACCAGTCATAGGTGGCCTGTTGGAAAAATAGATGGCCCCGGTAAATGCAAAATAAGTTCCATCTAACCCAGGGCCCTCTATTTTTTAGGCAAACCAACCAAAAAGGACCCCTATGGCACCAGTGTGCCACCCTCGAACATGCGTCCGTTCGGGGCCGCGGCACGGGGACTTTGGGGTGGATGTCCCTTGCCAGGGTCGGGGGTTTGGGGAGCCCTCCCCGGAGAACAGAAAGAGTCCTTCGGTCTATCTCCTGCCTGTCGTAGCTGGGCCCTCAGATACCCCGCTAGAAGTGACTAAAAGTTAGAGTGGGTGAAATGGAAACTACCACTAAACACTGAAAGGATCTAAAAGGCTAAGGGACCGGATGGCTGGGAGCCACCAAGGTAAACAAGTTGTTTCCGGTTGATCCCTGCCGCATTGTGTCATTCCACCGCACCCGCGGCCTTACACCCACTGCGGCCTTACACTCATGTGGCATCTTTCAGGTGTCAGTGATGGCTGCTGAAGAATTTCGGCCGGAAGAACGAGTACTCTGTTCTGATCTAAATGATATGTGCTCCTGAAGACCAAGACAGGTGCAAGAATATCGCGCACAAGCGGAGGGCCCCCCACCCTGCCCCAATCATGACCAGCAAAGCTTAACTTGCTTCATCTCGGATTCAGACTGTAATGATAGTCTTCAAACAACACGCTTGGCTGTGCCAAGCTGACTGAACCTTTGCAAAAGCAGGCAGACTTGAAGGACGCTTTGTGAGCATCGTGTATGAACTGGGAATTGGAAGGTGCCAGGCGATCAACTCTGAAATTGGCGTTTCATGGTGAACCATAAGTTTGCTCAGGCATTTTGGGGCACCTCTCAGGCACAACACAACAGTATATACAAATAAAACATATATATATATATATATATATGTATCGCTTAGTGATGACCACAATCTTGGCAAGACCACAGGTCAGACGCCAGTACCTATTCATGTCGTACGGTGCCCCTTGGACGAGGCCAAGTCTTTAACACTCAGATTTGAAGTCTTTCCCATCCCTGTTTTCACTTGGGCCCCTTGACCAAACAGACTTCTGCTTGCTGCCTGGTTCTGTGCCCAAACACGGCATCAACAGCTCCTGTCAAGGCCGTACCCCAGGTGCCAAGCATTGCAACAGAAGAAAAAAACAAACACACATATTCCTGTTGTGCCCATTGAGGGTCATCTGGCTGTGGGTCCAAACCAATGGGATCACATTTTGGGGTAGGTGAATTCACCACATTTTGGAACCTATTTTAGTGGTTGGATTGAATTGGATGTTCACTGGGGGTACGATTTGGATTATTTTGACCCATGGCAGTCTAGTTTTCTACCTCTACTTGAGCCCAAGAGATGCTTTGGGATGCTTGTCGAGCCCAAGTGGCCGTGAGGTTCAGCTTGGCCGCGTTGCCCTGGCCATTGGGCTGTGATTGAGTATGTGTTAAAATACTCGGCTGGAATTGGGACCACAGCATAAAATTGTCTTTTTTGCCTGGTTAGTGGAAAACAAAGGGACCAACAAAAAGGAAAACATCGAAAAGGGGGGCTAATTCTGGGGAAGAATGGGGAATCCTAAAACGGCGATCTTCCAATTTGGCTTCCCTTTAAGGTGAAGAGGATATCCGCACAAACACAAACTATTAAAGATTCGCTTGGAAGCACCCTGTCGCTTCGGATACGACGCAAGTTGCATAGCGACTAAGCCAGTACTCTTTTGGCGTCGCCAGATCGCGCTGAGGAAAACACATGCGAACAAAGCTACTCTGTCAGTCGATTGCAAGCATGCTCATTCGAGCCTTCTTGCTATCCTTGGCGCCGTTCTTGCTAGCTCACATGAAATCAACATCAACACCTCCAAGGAATTGCTTGGCTGGGCAGAGCCTCATGTGTTCGGCGCCGCGCCGAGAGCAACAGGCAAACACAGCTGGGTTCAGTTGCCTTCTTTGGCAGTCCGATTCTTACCTCACCGTGGCATGTCGCAGCTGTTTGGTTTGGCCTCAGGGATCAGCAGTAAGTATCAACATCTCGGTTGTTTTCTGCTCCCCTGCTAAAAGCTTAACTTTTGGTGGTTTAGTGGAAAACCCATTAGTTGGCAAAAAGTTAAAGTCCTAACAGCCAAGCAAAGTGCACCAAAGACATGGTGTCCATATGCCGGACCGAACGGTCGCCAAGCGCAGGATCCAAACCCCCTGGGCTCAGGATCTGCGTCGCAGTGGGGACGCACCATGCATGACATGATTATGCAACATGTGAACCAGCGCTGAGCAACATCAGGCATCAAATTGAGAAGTGGAAATAGAGCTCTCTCTGGAATGATGATAAACACGATAGGGTCAAAACAAATTGACAACAATCGCAAAGCCCCAGGCATCTTCATATTCTTACCCTTTCAGCAAGCCTTTGGCAACTTTGGTTGAGGATCTTTTCAGTTTGCCTTCCGGCACTACTGAGAGATCGAATCGCACTCTCAGCATGAAGCGGGCCCCCGGACATACAACTCACCCTGCCAGAGACGCATGACCACTTCTGGGCATGAGTATCGATCTAGGGGTACCTTCCCCATTCTTTCCAGGGATCCTTCTTCTAGAAAACCTCCGGAAACCTAAGGAAAACTGCCGGTTTTTTGGAAAGAACGATGGATGGAAAAGAATGGGGAATCACACCCTAGAACTTTGGGGTTTGTTC